AATAACCTTCCTAAAGTAATGTGAAGAGATTGGTAAGGATTTAAGATCTTATACAATACTAGGGTGAATCAAGTCTGAACACAAAAGTAACATCTCATATTTTTTCTGACTAGAATTTAGAAGTCCATGAACCACTGAAATTATACAAAAATCTTTATGGAAAGAGGCTTCCTATCTTTTATCTGATTCTAGGAAGGGTATGGAACATGGTCACAAATCATGACCCTCACAGAAAACAAGATAGTTACAGTATTCCATCCCTCCATTCATTTTTATTCTCATTTATCAGGAAACATTTTATCACATCTAGCGCTATAGCTTCCACCTCAGGTGAAGTCTATAGTCAGTATCAGCTATGAAAGCTGTGAGTCTGAGCTTCTGCCCTCATTTAAGAGAGGCTTCCACGGGCTTAGGAGCAGTCCTAATGAAAGAACAAGAACTCACATCTGGCCAGTGTTGGGGAAAGAACTCCTAGGGGCACCAAAACCCTGTAATCATTGAGAACTTGAGTGCAATTGTCTGAGTCTTAGCTTCTCCATCAAAGTGACATATTTGTGAAATGTAGATAAGAGATAGAGGAGTAGAGAGAGGGAGAGAAGCAGAAACCAGGCTTTCACTTCAATAAAGGAGATAAAGTTGGGGAGTGCAGTTAATTTAATCTCAGTAAAAGAAGATTTAATACAACATCCTCTGGTAGCCTTAAACTAAACCTTTAACAATAAATATATGTTTAAATATACAGCAAAATTCTTGTTGCTATGCTCTATATTAATACTTTCTACATTGGGGCTAGGATTTATGTAAAAACTTGGCTTCTAATGACTTTTTAAAGGCAAATATCCCCAAATTTTATGTAAGTCCACAAACTGTTTTATCATCTCTACCTTGATTCCACTGACATTCTCCAGAATCAGGTCTAGTGCAGAATTTAAGATCAAGTGTAGATCAATAACAATTTGTGGTGTAAATGAGGCTATGGGTTATACCTGCACTGGCAAAATAAGGAACTTTATTGGTGAAAATTAGGAATAATGTTCTACTTTCCAAATGTGCTTTCCAGGTGGTTTATCACTGTCAAAATAGGCCAACTGTAGATTTAGTATGCAATTAAAGTTTCAGATATCCAGAGTTCTATTGCTGACATTATCTAATAGTGCAGATTTTACAGGCAAAAAAAGTGAGTGTTCACATAATCCACCAAAGCTCAGCACTAGCCACCACGCACTAACTGCCATATGCAAAGCATAGTACTAGACAAAGAGTAGAAATGGACTCTGCTAGAGTTTTACAGTATAGTCAGAAAAATAAGACATATGCCATGAAGAAAAATAATTTATCACAAAGTGCCAAAATGATGATAAAGATAATTCCACACCTTTGGGATGAAATGGCATACAGAAAGTGTCTCCAGGAGTGATCAGGAGTAATCATGAAGAAGTATTTAAATGGAATGCTAAAGGTGGAATTAGATTTTGATGGTCGAGGTACAGTATGGATAAATGTACTGAATAAGACCAGAGGCAGAAACACAGGAGTAGCTTGGCAAGAGAGTGAGAAGAACAGAATGAAGGCTAGGCATCTGATAACCCAATGATAATGAACACGGTTCATTACTACTTAAACTCCTCCTCTATAAGCATTGCTTTTTCTGATCATTTGACCAAGAATATTAGTGACAAGTATTCACTGACAAGTCTCTTGATTATAGATAAGTCACTTAGACTCCATTATATTGGTATTCTATCACCATACCATGTTCTCTTAATCCTCAGGACTTAATTTTACCTGTTCGTCATCCACCACCTCTCTACAAATACAATCCATGATAATAAAAAGTGCAAGATATGTTTTATTTTCAAATGTTCCCTGGACATATACAGCCTTTCTGCAAGGAGAGGCACTTTTGTCATATAATCCAATCATCCCTTAAGAACTAATTTTTCTACGCTAGGTTTAGGCCTTTAAAATCAGTGGGACTTTTCAGTTACAGACGTACTAGATGTGACATTTGGATCCTCCTAAAAGGACAAGGGTGAACTCTTCCTCTGAATACCCCATAGTAGCCAAATTACCTCTCCCATTGAGGAAAAACACAAACGATTGTCTCCTAATGATTTACTATCCAACCTCCAGCTCACAAATCAAAGAACAGTTTGAGTGAGAAATAAAAAACAATGGTGTCCAGTCGCTACAAGAGGAGAAAGGGACATTTGAGTCACTTTTTTAAACTAATTACTGATGAGCAGGCATGGAAGGAAAGAAAGACACAACATGACTGTGAAAGACTGTTCTCCCAGATAAATGGCCAGATATCAGATTCTATAATAAATACTTCCACCTATCAAAACACACACACACACAACTTTGAGATGAGGGGGAAGATACAGATCTTAAAAACACAAGGTAGTATTCAAGAATCCTCATGGATATTATAAAATGTTGGAACTTTGAAGGACCCTTAGAAGTCAACTAACCCAGACTGCAAATCCACATTCTATGAACTGTATACTACAGCCAGAGGTACTTGGTGGGGCTCGCAGAATTTTGTTTAGGTTGAATCAGAATTTTACAGTAGAGAAGATTTACACGAGAAGGCAGATCTGTGGCTTCTCTGAAGGACTGGGAAACCCACTAGCGCTGGGCTCTCTTACCCAAATGGCAGCACTGAAAAGGAGCTGAGGAGCAGCTGCCACCTTTAGAGGAAGCTCCGCCTGCAGCCTGCCACAGTCCCCACCACTCCCTCTTGTTCTGGAATACAAAGGCTGGTGTCAAAAAAATTAACCAAAAGTGGGAAAGAACTTAATGCTTTCATCCAACTTGCTTCATTCATGTATTGTGCCTGAAAATCCCTGTAGGCATTTGAGTGTACAAGTTCTCCTACAGTTCAATCCCATCATTTAGGAAGGAACAACTCAGCCAGAGTAATACAACAACTTAAAAACTTGCTCCATTAAAGTAAATTTTCAGAGGGGATTATAGTAGTTAAAAAACTGAAAAGTATTCTTAACTAAATAATATACTAGTATTATTACTTCTACTTCTCAAGATACCCAGGGACATTAGTATTATTACTCCTATTTCACCAATAAAGCTACCCAAGAATGTTCATATTATTATTCCCAATTCACAAGAGACATTCATTAACTCAAAGATGATCTGACTTTTCAATCAGGGATCAAACCAGGTTCAAACAATGATTGTTAATCTGAAGTACTTATGAGAGCTGAGAACACAGCTTGCCATGCACAAAGCCTACCACACAGAAGGACTTTATTGATACTTGTTGGTTAACTGTCCATCACCAAAGCCTATCAACTGCTACAGACAAGGACTTTCATAAATGTCATTATTTGAACAACTACAACATACAAAATTAATTCCCTAGAAAGGTTCTCAAACAATGTCAAGGAAGTTCTAATCCTTCTTGTTGTATAGTAATTGACCCCTAGGCAGGTATTTACTATGAGAATTAATAAAATCTCTTTCTAAATAAATTTCTTCCTTAGAATTGGTATAAAACTTAGTAGTGAAGGATTTTTCTGAATATACAAATCAAAAGCATGTTTGTTATTGAATAAGAATAACAGTTTAAAAATCAAAATAAAAAGTAATTCAAGAATGAGCACTCCTGAAGAGTCAAGAATTTGATTAAAAATTCACATACTTTTGTTTTCTGTGATTAAACAGTTCTTTAATGACAAAACAGCTTTTATAGTAATTCAGAAGAATATGGTTCCAAGTAAAACACTCTCCCCATTTTAATCATGGCTATTATTTTTGAAAATGAACATGGCTGAGGTCATTGTAATCTATTTCAGAGTCTGCCCGGGTTGGTGGTATTTTTTTTCCCTTGGCTTTGAGTTCTTCACATTACCAGCTAAGTGTTATGGCTTTAGATATGTGCCCTTTCAAATCCTATATTTTTAATGATGTACTTTACACACATAAATTAGAGTACATTCTACTTTCTTTTCTAACAATTCCAAATGGAATCCACACTTGCAAGAGGGCTAGAGCCTACCTTTTAAAAAAAAATTAAATATGTACTTTTTAGAACAACTATGTTCTCAACTGCATAAAAACTCCTCATGGGGGCTGGGGATTTAGCTCAGCGGTAAAAGCGCCTGCCTGGCAAGCGCAAGGTCGTGAGTTCGGTTCCCAGTACTGGAGAAAAAAACAAAAAAAAAAAAAAAAAAAAAAAAAAAACCTCATGGAATTTATTCACCACTGCAGCCTTCTCTTGTTTTTAGAATGGGAATAACAGTGTTTTGGCTTTTTTTTGTTTTGGGGGTTGGGTTTTGCTGTACTGGGGAT